CTATCTGACTACTATCTGACTACTATCTGACTACTATCTGACTACTAAGCTAAAAGAAGCCTAAACCAAACCAGTGGGAAGAATGGGAAGATATTAGGCCCTGCTTCGTCTTTTCTGAATGCTTCTCTGTAGATGCCATTAACACACCTGTTGCTGGCTTAGCAAGTCCACTTTTCACTTGTGATAGCCACTAACAGAAAAAACAAGTGTGAAACCAACCAATCACCCACCTGTAAAATCACTTGCTTCTCTTATGTTGTCATCTAGGATTCTGCACAAATGTCAGACCAAAAATGGGACACAACGTGGTTCTGAGGTCTTAAGCTGTGAAATCCTCTCTCCAAAAGAGACAGATTCATTCACCAGTGTAAGAAACTCACAGAAATAACAAACATCTCCTTTCCAAAGCAGGCATGAGTCCTCTCCTGAACCTCTTCATGCCTATTCTTTCATCTTTCAAATTTTGTCTTAGCCATCATCCTCGCTTCGCATTTCACAAGCTGCCACTGTGCCTCAAGTCATCACAGAATCACAGAACTGTAGGGGCTGGAAGGGACCTCCAGAGATCATCGAGTCCAACCCCCCTGCCAAAGCAGGTTCCCTACACCAGGTCACACAAGTAGGTGTCCAGGCAGGTCTTGAACATCTCCAGGGAAGGAGACTCCACCACCTCCCTGGGCAGCCTGTTCCAGTGCTCCGTCACCTCCCTGTAAAGAAATTCTTGTGCACATTTGTGCAGAACTTCCTATGCTGCAGTTTCCGGCTGTTTCCCCTTGTCCTGTCTCCACACACTGCTGAAAAGAGTCCGGCCTCGCCACTCTGCCCCCCACACCTTACATATTTATAGACCTGGATCAGGTCCTCTCTCAGTCTTCTTTTCTCAAGGCTGAACAGACCCAGTTCACTCAGCCTTTCTTCATAGGAGAGATGCTCCAGGCCCTTCACCATCTTTGTGACCCTCCGCTGGACTCTTTCCAAGAGATCCCTGACTGTTTTGTACTGGGGAGCCCAGAACTGGACACAGTACTCCAGATGAGGCCTTACCAGGGCAGAGTAGAGGGGGAGGATCACCTCCCTCGACCTGCTGGACACGCTCTTTTTAATGCACCCCAGGATGCCATTGGCCCTCTTGGCCACAAGGGCACACTGCTGGCTCATGGCCAACTGCCGTCCACCAGCACACCCAGATCCCTCTCCGCAGAGCTCCTCTCCAGCAGCTCATCCCCCACCTTGTACAATCATAGAAATGTTTGAGTTGGAAGGGACACTTCCAAGGTTATATAGTACAAGTTCCCAGCAATAAACAAGGACATCTGCAGCTAGATTAGGTTGCTCAGAGCCTGGTCCAGCTCGGCTTCAAATGTCTCTGCAGACAGGCATCCACCACTTCTCTGGGCAACCTGTGCCTGTGCCTAACCCCCTTTATTGTAATCACACACACATGCACAACACCCTCTTCCTTATATCCAACCCGAATCTCTCCTTTACTTTGAAACCATTTCTCCTTGCCCTGTCACAGGAGGCCTGCTAAAGAGTCTTCAGATACTGACAGGCCTCTCTCAGATTACCTCGAGCTCTTTTCTCTAGGCTGAAGTCCCACCACCTTGCTCCCTCGACATGCAGACACTGCTACCTTACTGAAGCTGAGGAAGTAGAAATCGCTTGAATGTTGCCTTTGAGCCCTGAACGTTAATCCTCTATTAGGATCACGCACTTAATTGAACACCCTAAAATCAACACAAAGAAAAACAGAAACGCACAAAGCGCAACGAACTCCTGACGGGCAGCGCAACCCCTGCGCTTCTCCCTGAGTTCCCCCCTCACCCAACGCTGAGGGCACGCAGCGCAGCAGAAAACCCGGCCCAGCTCGGCCCCCGGCAGCAGCCTTACCTCGGTACTCCGGCTCGGACCGGCGGCTGGTGGGGAGCTGCGGAGGGAGCCGCGCCGCCATGGCAGGACGGGCTGGGAGCGGCTGCGCCGTTTGAAATCCCCGCCGCGCTCCGCCTCTCTGATTGGCCGGCCGCGGAATTGAACGGGCCAATGGCGCTTCCCGCACCGCGGCGAGAAAATGGCGGCCGTTCCCGGGGCCGTCGCTGGAGGGCGCCGCGGCGAGAAAATGGCGGTCATTTTTCAGGCTGCCGCTGGAGGGCGCTGCACCGCCGTGGCTGGCGCGGTTGGGGCAGGGCCGTGCTCGCCCGGTGCCTGCCGGACGAGAGCGGCAGCTGCGGCCCGGTGTCTCCTGGGGAAGGGAGAGTTCCTCCCGGACCGCCATGGATCGGTTCTCCTGGACCAGCGGGCTGCTGGAGCTGGGAGAGACGCTGGTGCTCCAGCAGCGCGGCGTGCGTCTCTACGACGGGGAGGAGAAGGTGACGGGAGCGGCTGGCGGCGCGGCCAGGCCTGGAATGCCGGCCGGTGCGCGGGCGGGGAACTGGGGGAACGCGGGATGCTGCTGTGGGCACCTGGACGAGGGGAGGCGAGTGAGCGTGAGGGGACGTAGCTGAGGAGAAGTGTGAGGCGGAGCCGCAGCGCCCAGCAGCCGTTGCTGCGAGCTCTGACAGGGCTTGGCTCTGCGAACTACAGAATCGTGAAGGTTGGAAAAGAGCTCTAAGCTCTTCTCCAACCGGCAGCCCATCCCCACTGCCCGCGTCCCTCAGTGCCACATACACCTCCGGGACGGTGACTCCGCCTCCTCCCCGCGCAGCGGTGCCACTGCCGCGCCTCTCGGTCTCCCTGTTTTTCTCCACCCGAATGGCTGCGTACCCTTGCAAGAAGCTACAAAAGCTTCCTTCGAGCTTTACAAGTAGGAAGCAATTTGCTCACACAGATTTTTCCCAATCCTATTTGCTTACCGATATATAAAATATTTCTTCAACAATAAAATGGACAGAAGGAACGCTTCTATTTGATAGGCCTGAAGACTTCTGTCTGTAGCACGTTCTCATTAGGTTGCTTTGTGTTCTTATAGAACTTCAACTTTCTTTATCAGCAAACAAAAGGCAATAGCCCTTTTAGAAATAAATATCCATTTAGCAGTTTGTGTATCTTGCACAGCATGTGGAGGGAGGATCTCTCAGGATTTCCTGAGAGTATGTTTATGCAGTTCAAAAGGAAGTTTGTCTATATCCATGTAATCCTTTTATGCTGGTTTTCCCCATTTCTTTTTCCATTAACTTCATTGATTCTGTTCTCGGGAAGAAAAAAGCAATAAGAGTGCCCTCAAAATATTGGCTTGTATCTTATTCCAACATTGTACTGATGTGTAGTGTTACCAAGTTGAGTGTTGTGGTGATGAGTTTACACACTGACTCGATGATCTTGGAAGTCTTTTTTAACCTTAATGATTTTATGATTTATTTATGCAACTTAGTGGTTAAATTTGTTGCTGATCTGTTTTATTTTTCTTGCTTAGGTGAAATTTGATAGTGGAGTACTACTGCTTAGCACGCACAGATTAATATGGAGGGATCAGAAGAATCATGTAAGTCCCACATCTGCCTCTTGCATGTCACTCAGTTGTAAATTTCATATCAAGTAAGTTGGCGTTTGCAGATGAAAAAGAAATCATGGAATCCTTAGAGGTAGAAGGAACATTTTAAAGGTTATCTAGTCCAACTCATCTGCAGTGAACAGGGGCATCCGCAGCTCAATCACGTTGCCCAGACCTGGTACAGCCCTGCTTTGCAAGTCTCCAGAGTCGGGGCATCCACCACATCTCTAGGTGATCTGTTGCAGTGCCTCACCACCACAGCTTTCTTTGTGTATGTTTTGTCTTACAGATGTAGCCCACATTTTGTTTCACAGAAATTACGTTCCAAGAAGATGATATACAAGGAATATTCTTTTACCCAATTCTGCTTTAATAAAATGATCAGAGATGAGGAGGCGCAGAAAGGAATTGTATAGTTTTTCCTTTTCTGTGGCACACAAATGGAGAAGGAAGTCTGGCATCATGTATTGGACACTTGGTTTTGAGAATGAAGGTGAAAATGTCACTCTAACTGTAATCTGAATGCCTCTTCCGTGCTCATTTAGCAAGACCTTTTCTTCCCCATTGTGTTTCGAAGTCCAACCATCCCCATCTTCTGGTTCCAGCACATAATACCAGGCCATGATAATAGTTGGTGTTTGGTGGCAGTATTATGTTGTACACGCCTTATCCTTCCAGCTGACTACTGCTGTGCTGAGCCAGTAAGCCAGACCATTTGTACTACTTAGGAGAATCAGTTCAGAGCTTAAGCAGTGCTGTTGAAACAACAGTGTGATGCTGCTGCTGAATGCTTTACATCAGGTCCCCGGTGGCCTGAGATGTGGCTGTGAATGGGTGAGAAAGATTACAGATATTTAATTAGCTCTAAACATAGACTGTTATAATGTGCACCATTTTAGAGATGTAATTGAAGATGTCTTTCTCAGAACCAGGTTGAATTCTCTTTGTTTTGGACACAATATTTTAGAAAATTTAGCCTCAGAAGCCATGTGCACATAACAGCTCTTCAAAAGTAAGTTTTATTCCACTGGACTGGCTTTTAGCAAGGGTAACTGAAGCACCTCTCATACTTAGTGACTATTCCCCACCAATCATCACGTTCTTGCTCCACAGTGGTGAGCTATTCTGAGCTTCATGACATGTAAGGTTGCCAAGGATGATCTGAATTTGGCAAAGCAACTTATATATGTATATCATAGATTCATAGAATGGCCTGGGTTGGAGGGGACCTCAATCATCAAGTTCCAACCCCCCTGCTTTGTTCAGAGAGCCTGTCCCAGCTGGGGTTGCTATTAAGTCAGGAGCTGATTGTCTAAATCACAAGCCATTCTGTAATTATTATTATTATTATTATTATTATTATTATTATTATTATTATTATTTTCCACAGCAAATGTGAGATAATTTACCTGTGTTGAACTGTCACTGTAATTCACCCCCCTGACTTCTTCATCAGCATGTCTTTGTGTCAGGCAGGCACGTAAGGCAATATGCATTGCTTCTTATCTTCTCAGGCTTTCAGTTTGCCTGGAGTAACACTGTATGACAGCTTCAGCAAGTCTAACAACTGTTCAGATCCCCTTTTTCTCCTCAACAAAAAGATGACATTTGTTTCTTCTCCCCATGCTACCTCAATCGCAGGGCTCCTTGTGCTCTCCAAAGATCACAGAATTTGCTAAAAAGCAGAGAAGAAACTTGGAGAATAAGAAAATAGTTCAAACAATTTAACTTAGCAAAGGTTCTGGGAGGAGGCAGAAACACAGGGCAGCAGATTAGCAGAAATTATCCACGTCTGATCTAGTATAGGTTACTTGTGTCTCAAAAGAGCTAAGTTTTTGCTTTCTTTTTTTAAATCCATAACTTTGTTACTGTGGTAAATGAAAGTGTTTCTTTCTCAAGCTCTTAGGAGTGAAGCGTGGGTAGCACAATGGCCTTTTATATTCACGTGGAGCTATGATGCATAAACTTCAGAAACTTAGCTGCCTTACCTAGAATAAACTTCAGGAGGTTCCCTTTTGTTGCGCCAACATACTTTTGTAATAAAGGAGGCTACTTGTTAGGCTGAAGTAGCAAAAGTTGTTGCAAAAACACTTGTGTTTTATAGCTGCTGTTCTTAGATACCACCTGCAGTCAAACAATACAGAAAATAGCCATTTCCAAAGAAAAAGATGATGTAATTCTTTTAAGTTTGTTACATAGCTAGATTTGCACAACATTGCAGATCACAAAATCATACATGATTTCAACACTAAATAGCAGAAAAATAAATCCAAATGAACACGCTGTCCTCATATCCCCACAGAACTTTTAATTTGTTGCTCTTTTGGCATCATTTTCTCTTGCTTCTCTCTCCAGGAAGGAGTGAAGTCCTTGTACTTAGATTAAACTCATAGCTTTCTAGCTATGAACTAAATTAATATATTGTTTAAAAAAATCTAGGTATTATGTGTTGTTATATGAAATTTGGCTCTTTTGTTGCTTTCAAAATCTTTGGGTTTTAATGGAATCTTTTTTTTTTTTTCCCTATATTTATGTGGGCATTTTACAAACATAATTGTTCTGTACATTGGTGGTAAAATCTGGAGCCAGAGAAGAATCGAAATAGTCTAAAACAGGAAGTAAAAGCCATCTGTTTTTTTTTTTTCCCCTTGATAGATTTATTCATTAGTAGAAGTTCCTCCACATATACTTATAAGCTCCAATTTAATGTGTATTTAATCATTCCATGCAAAGAACAGTTTAGGTAGCAGGGATTGAGAGGACCTCCCAACAGTATTCATTATAAGCTGGTGTTAGGAACACCTTTGTGGCTGATGGGAGAGAAAGCTTCAAAGAGGGTCTGTAAGGTTTCCTGCATTCTGACTGACCATTGATCTCATCCTGAAGAGGATGTTCAGCAAAGGATATTCACCAAAACAAGACCAGTCACATAATTGGATGCTTTGAATTGTTCCCTTCAGCAACTTCTGTCTCAAATACTTAAATAAAGAGTTTGGATTCGTTTCCCACAGATAGGTACAGTCTTGTTTCTTGCTCTGCTTTGATTTATCTAAAGCACAGTTCAACAAATGCGTGTTGACATTAAACCTGTGTGAGGATGAATAGATGGAGGCATTCCTAATTGGTGTATAACCACTCAAAAAGTAATCCAGCTTTTAGACATTCAGCGCTGAGAAGCCTGGTGGTTTTGTGTAGTGCTTTGGCTCCCCAAGTTACATCCATCCAAACATCTGAAGGACCTATTAGCATTATGCACTTACAGGGATAAGCTGCAGCGGTGTGGAAATTGTAGTGTTTGTGTCTTGTACTTATATCCTAAAGCTTTGTTCAGTTGAGGTTTTATAAATCTAGCCTGAAGTGCCTTACACTTAGATTTGTTTTGGTTATCTGGAACTCAGCTTCAAATCTGTATTTTTGTATTTTTATTTCCCTTTCATAGATAGTTTCTATTGTTAATGCTGTACTTCATCTGAAGTGCCTCTGACAGCACCTGTAGAAATCTTTACTGTTTATGAAATGGGAAAAGAGAATGGTTTAAGAGAATGGTCAGGATGTGGCTTTAATTTCTTTTGTGTTTCCATTGATAATTCCAGGAATGCTGCATTGCTATACCTCTGTCTCAAGTCGTCTTTATTGAAGAGCAAGCAGCTGGGATAGGAAAAAGGTAAGGTGATAAAAATCTTTTTACACAGGTAGATAGTGATAGGACAAGGGAGAATGACTTCAAGTTAAAAGAGGGGAGATTTAGCTTAGATGTTGGGAGGAAAATTTTCACTGAGAGAGCACTGAGACACTGGCACAGCTGCCCAGAGAAGCTGTGGGTGCCCATCCCTGGAGGCACTCAAGGCCAGGCTGGATGGGGCCATGGGCAGCCTGAGCTGCTGGCTGGCACTGCCCATGGCACGGGGTTGGGACTGGGTGGGCTTTAAGGCCCTTCCCAACCTGAGCTATTCCATGATTTTATTATGATCCTATGATAAACACTTTGGTTTTCTCACATTGATAATTAATTGCATGTGTGTTATGTGACAAATCCAAGACTACTTAATTATCCATGGTAGGATCAGTTTGTAAACCATGTTTCCACGTTGACAGCCACGGAGCTCAGCATTCCTCACTTAAGACCAAGTGCATAAGCAAGTCATGACAAAGTGGTGTTTGATGCAAATGGTTAAATCATCCTATAAGCACTAAAGTATGTGTTCCAGCTTGCCATTTTTCAGTGATTAGTCATCAATACCACAGTGCTGTTGCTGAATCTAAATTTGAAAGCTAATTTTTGTCATTTGTGTCACAGAACTGGTTAGGAACAGAGACTCTGCCAAATCCCATGTTATCTTTACACAAACATATGATTGAATCTGAGCTTGGAAGTGCTGGTGAGGAATAGTAAGAGCTGGTGTTTCCCCTCAGTTAGGTAACAAATCTGGTGTGGTGTGTGTACAAAGAAGTTTGACAAGAAAAAAGATTAAATGGAGAAATTGCATAGAGATATGTGCTTGCAGCCAGATGAATAGATGCAGTCAGATGAAAAGACTAAGGTAATATCCTGGGGGTGCCCAGATGAGATCAGACAGTTCCCTTATGCTGAAGAAGGCAAATAAAGATCTATTAAAAATAACTATTTGTAAAATGAAATGGGAATGGCAGACTTGCCCCCATAATGTGATAGTGGCTTAGTATATTCCTAAAATCGTGCTATCTCAAGGTTTGTTTTGGTGGTAGGTGTCATGTTATTTCCACACACATTACCTTTCAATGTTGATTTTGGACAAGATCACATACAGTGTTCACAAGTGAAGCATGCAAGCAGACAGATTAAACAGAATATTGAGATTTTCTGTTTTCTCATGACAGAGTTAGTGTGTTTTGACAGTAATCATTGCAAGTCAAAAGCCTAAGCAAAAGCACTGCTCGACAAGCAGTTTTTACCTTAACTAACACTGTCAGAAATAATTTGCTTGAAGTCTTAAGATCTGTAGCATTTAATTTTTAAAAATGATGGCAGATGCCATGGTTTTAAACTTGATGTTGTTAAACTTGTTTTAAACTTGAGATGTTATTGAGAGGTTGTAGTAGCTTTTATGCAGTACGCACACAAAACAGATATATACATGGTGGCAAAGCATTTAAATGTTATTGCACAAATGTAAAGCATTATTTGATGTACTTTAGTTCTTACATGAGATAAAGTTAGTGCAGATTTTGAATAGACAGATAACTTTGATTGTAGGAAGAGGGTTTGGGTTTTGGTTTGGTGTTTTTTTTTTAGTTAATGAAAAAAGCTGTGTTTTCTCTTTCCTTTAACTTTTTCTTAGTGCCAAAATAGTTGCTCATCTTCATCCTGCTTCTCCAAACAAAGAGCCTGGCCCATTCCAAAGCAGCAAATACTCCTACATAAAACTTTCTTTCAAAGAGCATGGACAAATCGAGGTAAGTTTTGTACCACACAAACCCAGTATATCAGAGCTTTGGACATGCCTTTCTCCTCTTGCTGTGATAGTGATAATTTTCCACGATCTTTCTGTGTTGACTTTTGAGGTGGAGCTTTTTCAGTACATCCTTTTTTAAAGCAAACATTGTGAGCATTCAGGGTTCCGTGCTTTGATTAAACAGAGTCCCAAAAATGTCAGGAGGTGCTAGGAGACTTTGTCCTCTTTCTGGTACATTTAGAAACATCTTATTCTTCCTGTATTATTTTCTAAATGGAACATGTTGTTTTCCAAAATGATGACCTTGCAATCTGTTACTGTTAATAGAGTCAAAGCTGTTTCTTTGTACTTCTCCACTGAATGGAAATCAAGCAGCTTACTCCTAATCAATTCTCTCATTGCTTTAGAGCTTTGTTTCATTGTGTTTTATAAATCTTTTTTTTTCTTTCTTTCCTCTTCTTTGTTTTACCAACTGCTAATCTCAAAATGCAATAGATGTTAAAAAGATAAAAAAAAAAAAAGGAATTGTCCTCTGTGAAGAAATGCCACAGTATAAAATCCTTATGTGGAGAGATGGAAAACTTTAGCTCTGAAAAACAGAAGAAAGCCATGCCATTTCACTGCAGAAAATCAGATTTTCAACTTGAATTATAGATATCTTCATAAGGCATCTATGTGTCTTCTTTGTCTGTATCTAACGTGCATATGTTTCATCACACTCACTTTCATTTCTTTGTGAGCAAAGTTGCTTAAAGTTAACTAATCAACTAATGCCACTTTCTGGCATTAGCATTAAACAAATAAGTCTACGTGGTTGTCTTTATGCTGTTCAATTAACAGATTGTTTGTGATTGTGTTGATCAATTTTCCTTCCTTTTAAAAGCAGGCATTTGAGCAAACCTTGCCATCATTAACTTCAGCATGTTTTGGAACATTTTGAATATCTCAAAAAATATTTTACAGTAGAAGCAGTCATGGTAGTTTGAGTAGTAGCTCCTTCTCTACCATGTGTATTTTTGAAGGTTGGAGAAGAATGTTGTTCTGTGAATGTGTAGGTGTTACCATGCTGCTTCTTACAGTGACGTTTGGTTCGTTGGCCAAGAAACTAAAATAACCAGATTTACTCTGCATGTTTTGTGAAACATCTATTGTCACTCTTAAATGTTTGCAGTTCTTTCGACGATTCTCAGAAGAAATTACACAGAGGAGATGGGAGAACATGCCTGCTGGACAGACCATTCAGGTTAACAAGGATCCACAGGTAGGAGCAGAGCTTCTGGCATTCTTGTGTGCATCTCATGTTGCTCTGTTTAGGTTGAATTCAGAACCTTCATGTAATTTTGTTTCCACAAGTGCTGTTTCCATATACTGCATCTGCCTCTGGCCTGTCTTCCTTAAGTGTGCTTTGCCTTGAGTGGTTGATGGTGAGCTCAGTTCTGTAATAGCACATTCAGCATGAGAGACTTGATAAAGCTAAAAGGTTTTCGGTGATCTCTTATCTGGCCACAAAAACCAGAAATGTAACACGTATATTTCATATGTTTGAAAACCACATGGATCTGATTTATATTTATATTCTAATTGGGCAGTTGTTCTGGAGGATATCTTTGTCAGTTTGGTTGTCTTTTTACCTGTCTGCCTACTTCTAGGTTTAAAAACTCTGATAAATGTGTGCACATTGCAACTGTATGTGAATACATTGTACATATGAATATGCAGAACACAGATTTCTTGAAGTAATTGTGTTTAGAAGCACTCACCTATTTGCATCGCTCTGTATTGTAAATGTTCACATGGGCTCAGGAGGCTTTAATTGGGATAAACTAAAGCATTCAGTCTAGACCAAGCTATTAAGCATATTCATGTTAATAGCTTCAATATAATAACCATTATCTGCCTATGTGACAGCAGATTTATACTTGCTTTATACACATTGTTTATTTTGTGACACTGATTTTGAAAGTACTGTAAAGTAATACATGAATTATTGTATGTATGTTATTGGCTATTTGGAGGAATTTTTTCTGTGTTCTGATACAAGCTTTTTCATGCTGAGGTGGATGAGAAAACTTAGCATTTCCTATTTTGACTCCTTGTTTTCTTTTCTTTTCCAGGCAGGAAGAGTGAGAGCTGTAGGAATTGTAGGGATCGAAAGGAAACTAGAGGCAAAAAGAAAAGAGACTGACAAAAACATTTCCGAGGTAAATACTACTGAAGTTTCAAGGTCAGCCATCTGTATGAGCTATTTTTGTTCATTCACACTTTCTTTTAGGGGCAGCTGAGATCGTTTATTGCTTTTGTTGAGACATCTGAATTGATTGAGAGCGTGTATTTTACAACTATTTATTCTTTTTAACTGCCTTTTCAATATTTGCAAGGGTACTTCATGTAAACAGTTCCTTTCAAGAAGGCTGTACTTCAGAACTACTGCTGTGTATTTGTAAGATTCATCACAAATCTGAGCTCAATGACTTTTCATCAACAGAAGCAGAATGCAGAGACTTCTACAGAAAGAGGACGTGACAAGTGTTTTTTTCCTCTTTGTACAGCTAGTTTTGGTTTCAATTCAAAATGTAATATGTATATTGTGGTGCATTTACCTTTTCATCACATGGATGCTTATTTTTTAAATGTTAGAGTTCAACTTATAATTACAGTGCCATAATTGTCCAGGCTTCAGCAAGTTACAGGTATCTGTGCAGGTTATGTTGGCAGGATGGATGCTGTCCTTTTTCCCAGAAGCAGTGCAGTAATTGACTTTCAAATGTCAGTGCTGATGGACAGCAGAATCAATTTGTTCCTTCACTGAAAATCTTTCAGATGTACTGGGAGTAATATCCTTTGAAGTGATCTGGTTCTGTCACATAATAGAGAGTGATACACAGATTCACAGAATCACAGAACAGCCCAGGTTTGCAGGGACCTCAAGGATCATGAATCTCTAACCTGCCACATGCAGGGCCACCAACCTCCCCATTTAATACCAGACCAGGCTGCCCAGGGCCCCATCCAACCTGGCCTTGAACACCTCCAGGGACGGGGCATCCACAGCCTCTCTGGGATTGATGTGGGAATACTCATAAGCTGCCTACAACAGATTGATTCGAATGGCAAAGTGTTACAAGACTCAGCGTGCCCCAGTAAAAAGCATGCTGCATATTCTGCTATGTAGAGTTACATAGCAGCTTGTAGGCAGCATGCTGTTTCAGATACTGCTAAAATTTTTTCTTCTTTTATGAGGAATGTAGTGAATGAAATTCTGTGTGTAGTTCAAAAGGCATTGTGGTGTGTGTGTGTAGTTCAAAAGGTGTTGTCTGGTTATTTTTTCCGTTTGTAGCTTTTTCAGAGAGCAGAAGAAATCCATCTGTAAGTGTTGCATGAATGTAGGAAAATCATGACTTGTGAAATCCTGCCTTCCTCCAGCTTTAAATGTTATAGATGACTTAATTTAAAAAATGGTGCCCTGGCTTCCAGAAAAAGGCTTCCTGCATCTGCTGTTCACTGCTGATAAGAATCCAGTTCTGTAGCCTTTTGTTTATCTGAGGAAGTTCCTGTTAGGTGTGTGCACATTCCCCTTTGTTTCCAGGCCTGCCCTCAGTGAGTCAGGCAGAGGAGGAGTTACACACAGCATACTGTTTATTAGCTAAAGCAAGGGTTCTTTTGATGAACAGTGTTTTCATGCAGGTTTTAGAGATGAGAAATAAGTTAGGAAAAACCTTATTAGAAAATTTTGTTGATATCATGCGAGCACAATAGAAAGACTTAAATTACACCAAAGATTGAGAATTCTATTGTAAACCATTGAATTTGGCAAGTAAGGAAGCAAGAATCATAGAATCACCATAGAAGAATCACAGAATGGCCTGGGTTGAAAAGGACCACAGTGCTCATCCAGTTTCAACCCCCTGCTATGTGCAGGGTCACCAACCAGCAGACCAGGCTGCCCAGAGCCACATCCAGCCTGGCCTTGAATGCCTGCAGGGATGGGGCATCCACAGCCTCCTTGGGCAACCTGTTCCAGTGCATCACCACCCTCTGAGTGAAAAACTTCCTCCTAATATCTAACCTAAACCTCCCCTGTCTCAGTTTAAAACCATTCCCCCTTGTCCTTCCCCAAGAAGAAGTATTCCACTTAATTCTGGATGCCTAGCTGAGGTACCAAGTGTTAAGAGGCTGAACTTCTATGGTTCTATGGAGTCACTGGTACCATTAGGAGGGATTTGGGTGGAAAAAAAACACATCCCTTCTTGGAGACATTTCTCTCATCTGTGTATATGGAGTCTCAGGCCAATAAGCTTCCTAACTCAGGTGCATAAATATTTTAGATGGAAACAATTCAGTCTTCCTGCATAAGTCCTGCTAAAATTCTTTCTAGAGGGGGATTAGTTGGAAGATAGGAAATGGCATAGAACTGATGTCTGGAAACTGTAGGCAAGATGTATCTGTGGTCATTTGCTATACCCTAACTGAATGATCTTTCTTTGTGGCTGCAATTACTGGGTGCTGCTTTCAGGCAGGCAATAACTGAGGAGGCTCTGGAATGTTTCTCAAACCAGTTGGCCAACAAAGGTGGTTTGAAAAGGTTCACTACACAGGCATGTCGTCATGTATTTAGATAGATGCACCACAGGCTGAGTGTGTGTTGCTAAGCCTGGCAAAAATTTGTTACTTTTGAATATATAATATGTTTACTAACTTTTTATTTCTTTGAGGTCAAAATATGTGGATCTTATTTATTTATGCCTGAAAATACAGAATTATGGTACTTCAGACCATAGCAGTTTACTAAGCTCAATAGACTTGATATAAGCATGGTCCTATGTTGTAGGTCCAATTTATTACAAATTTTGTGGCAGCAATAAAGCTGCTCAGACTGGAGAAAAAACTGTACAAATAAGCATTTACCTGCCTTAGCATGTACTGTGCTTTTTAGGTCCAACAACTAGAGTTTTCAGAAGATCTTAATCTATTTTTTAAATCTTCGTTTGTATAAATCTGATCGTTTGTCTCATGGATATTTACATTCTTCTTTAACTGTTTTGTGTTAAATTATGGGAGCATCACTGTTCTGTTGTGTGAGATACGTGAAAAGATGTTGAAACAGAATTTGAGATTTTGTCTCTTTGGTTAAGCATATTATATCAAATTATATATTATCTTCATTGCTCATTTTAAAGTAACTACAGTCTTGCTTACTAACCTAGAAGCTCCCACTCAATAAAGTAAAATTGTGTTGTCAGGAAGAATGTTTCTGTAGCATTACAGCTGGCTTATTGCTGTCCAGAAGCAATAGATCTTCTTGAGTGAGCTTTAACTCACTTGGTTGAAGAAAACCTGCCCTCACCACCAAGAAATGTTTGCCCAGCATTCAGGAGAGCATAATTGACTTGGTCTGTTTAAACTTTTTTGGGTCTCAGTCTCCTTTGTTCCTTGTTTATGGATTGTATGGTTTGTCTTTGTAGACTTGTATGAAACAGTTTCATAAAACAATCAATTGTCTATAATATGTCACACTATAACTATAACTAACATAAAGGATAGCAGCTTTTACAACCAGCTTGATAGGTTTGCCGAGGTAGCTCAGTGTGTCTATGAAGCTGAATGCTGTAGTTGTACTGATCTGAAATGTTTTTAATATCTTTTCAGGCTTTTGAGGACCTTAGTAAGCTAATGGAGAAGGTAAGGCACGTGTTACGTATGCGAGTAGATTTATGCTTGTTTTCTGTTTTCAGCATGTTTTCCCTGATGACCTGCAAATTGATTTATCTGTGGATTTTTCTTGATAGGCTAAGGAAATGGTGGAGCTATCCAAGTCAATTGCTAATAAGATTAAAGAAAAACAAGGTGACATCACGGAGGATGAGGTAAATGAATTTTGTTTTCAGAATCAACAGGAATGTTCCTGTGTAAAGCCAAAGCTGTCCTTGTAGCAAAACGAGTTCTGTAAAGAATGCTTTGTGGGCTTTTCTGTTCGTTTTAGATCTAGTTAAAGAGACTGAAGAGTTTGGTTAACTTTTATTTTGGCTCTTTCTGAAAAGCATAGATTTTACTGCCTTTGTTGGTGGACGATGACAGTTTTCTGTTCTGTATTATTCTTGATTTCACTTTGCTAGTAATCGACTTTATTGGTAGTAAACTGTTTGGATCAATTCACCAAAACTGTCTTCTAGTAATAAAATGAAAGTCCTTTAAAAATGAGAGTCGTTCAGTAGCTGATAGACTTCTAATGAATTTATTTGTTTAGACTATTAGGTTCAAATCATATCTGCTGAGTATGGGCATAGCCAATCCAGTTACTAGGGAAACACACGGATCTGGTACTCATTACCACATGCAGCTGGCAAAGCAGCTAGCTGGAATGCTGCAGACACCATTAGAGGTAACGTACCAATTTTGCACCAGTGTTTTCTTTGTGGTGCTGAGTTTTCATGAAAACGTGTTCTGGCTGTGTTAATGGCTGTGCCTCTTTGCAGAGTTCCTAATGGAGCAGCACAGCCTCTTACTCACTGCTTACGTGAGTCTTTCCAAGAAAGAAAATGTAAATGTGAAGTGTAAGAATATTTTTTTTGGAGAAATGCAATCTCAGCTTCCAATTCAGTAACTTTGGGTGGTATTTGGTGGATCACATTAACAGCCTTCCTGCTATTTGAGAGCTCTGTATTCATTCCTTGCCACAGAATATTACTTCTTTTTTTTTTTTTTTTAAGAAAGAAAAACAGTACAAGCTTTGAATATATAACTATTATTTCATTAAACTGTTTAAGTATCACATACTTAACATATTTTAATTTATCTGAAGCTCTTAGAGAGTTCTAGATTCTTGCCAGAAATCTATATTCATGTTTGAAGCTTCTGCAGCTATATGTCTCCTAAGAAGTATATGGAATGTTTTGTTTAAGAAATGTGCCACCTGTTGTGATCAGACATGCTGCCTGAAAAATGAAAATTGATTGATAAGTTTAATACATAAAAATTCCTTCATCCTTTGGCTTAAAAATAAAATTAGGTCTCAATCTTTGGGTATAGTATCAATTTTTTACATTTTAAAATGATAGGACAAAGATTGCTAACAAATTACTTCTAGTGCTAGAAATTGGTGGTGTTGACAGGGTAGCTTTTTCATTAAAGGCCACGATCAGCTTCTCTGCTTTAGCTGTTCAAACAGTCAAATGCAAATTAAGATACTGTGTTTACTAGATTAATGCTATTTCTCTTACCAGTCTTGTGCTTACACAGGAGAGAGGAGGAATCATGTCACTTACAGAAGTGTACTGTCTGGTAAACCGTGCACGAGGATTGGAGGTGAGAAGTTGGTTTTCCTAGAATCATATCATAGAATCACAGAATGGCCTGGGTTGAAAAGGACCACAGTGCTCATCCAGTTTCAACCCCCTGCTATGTGCAGGGTCGCCAACCAGCAGACCAGGCTGCCCAGAGCCACATCCAGCCTGGCCTTGAATGCCTCCAGGGATGGGGCATCCACAGCCTCCTTGGGCAACCTGTTCCAGTGCATCACCACCCTCTGCGTGAAAAACTTCCTCCTAATATCTAACCTAAACCTCTCCTGTCTCAATTTAAAACCATTCCTCCATTTTTTCTTATTTTTTCTTAGTTTTCTTAGGTTTTTTTGTTTGTTTGTTTGCATAAAGTGCACATCCTTGCTAAGGTAATCTGAGAAAAACTGTGACAGTATTCCCTACCAATTGCTCACTGTATGTAACAATGTGAAGTGATCAACTGTTTATTAAAATCAGAGATTTTTACCTTTTTTCTTTCTCCTCCTTTCATGCAGTGTTTATATATTCTCTATACTTAATAACAATGTATGCTGCTTTTCATAGTACCATATAGAGGAGAAAATCCACCTTTATCTGGAAAAAGAAAACAAACCTGAGACCAGGGAATACTAAAGAATGAGGATTTTTTTTCCAAAATGCTTATGTTCTCTCAGTAAACAGGGTAAAAATGTGTATTATAGAAAAAAAACCAAAGCAGTAAGGGGACAGGAAGGAGTGTAGAATAGATGGGGCAACATGAAAGGGAAAAAAAAGAACAAAATTAAGTAACCTGGTGCATATTCTATCTATCATTGTAGCAATTGTTTGTTTTGGTGCTATGCTGATACTAGAAAGGCATGCTGTCAATAAATGTGTTTTACTACTTTTTAGTTGCTCTCACCAGAAGATTTAGTAAATGCTTGTAAGATGCTGGAGCCACTGAAATTGCCGCTACGGTAAGAGATGTGCAGGAGATGTATTTATAAAACATGGCACTCGTAGGTCAGGCGTGCTGCTTGGCTGACAGTATTTTACATGTGGAACTTTCTTTTTTGAACACAGTTGTCCAGGTGCTGCTGTGTGCACCGACATCCACTCTGCACTTCAATATGTATTTTAACCATGCTTTACTTTGTCTGCTAGAAAGACAATATTCTTCTCACTTCCAACCTTTTTTTTTTCCCCATATTGGGAAAATTGGCTTATCTAAGCCCAACTGTATGCTCTGTCTTTTTCAATCTCTTTTTATTTCTAAGATGCTTTTAACTTGAAGTTCATTTTACACAGTCTTTCCTGTTTTCATTTTGTAATGTGGTTGTCATTGTGGATGTATCAGAAGGGTGGCCATAGGTGATGTGCCTGGGGCTTTGGGTTACTTTGACCCTCTCTTCTGATTTCAGGCTTCAAATATTTGACAGCGGTGTGATGGTGATTGAGCTCCAGTCTCACAATGAAGAGGAAATGGTTGCTTCTGCTTTAGAGACAGTAAGTGAACTCCACTTCCTTCGGTGTTCTGATTATGCTGGGGAAATTTAAACACATTAGGTATAGAAATGTGAAGTACAGGATTTCCTTTTGAGGCTTTAAAATACAAAATATTCCACTTCTAAAATCTTCTAACAATAATACTCAAATGGCACTTTTCATCTTCAAATTACAATGCAGGCAATAATCTTGGTTGTTGCTTTCTCCATAAGGAATAAAGCATTTTTCCATCTCTTTTCAAAATTCATTAACCTTTAACCTTCCTCCAAATCTTTGCACTGTAGGATGAAGTTCATGACATATATTTAATAACAATGGTCTTCAGTCTTTGTATACAATGTGCTTGAAGGTGGTGAAAATAGTTCTTAAATGTTGAGGCAGGCAGTTGTTTGATTTGGGTAAAATAGCACTTTGTATTTATAACAGTTGAGTTGGCTGTGAAGAGTGCATACATGGAAAGTGGTACACAGAGAATTAAACTCACAGGCTTCTGGGGAAACTGGCTGCCCGTGTCCTGGACAGGTCTGCCCTTCTTTGGGTAAGGAACTGGCTGGAGGGCCGTGCCCAGCAGGTAGTGGTGAATGGAGTGAAGTCCAGCTGGCGACCCGTTACAAGTGGTGTCCCCTGGGGTCAGTGCTGGGGCCCATCTTGTTCAATATCTTTATTGATGACCTAGATGAGGGGATCAAGTGCACCCTCAGTGAGTTTGCAGATGACACCAAGCTGGGAGGTGGTGTTGATCTGCCTGAAGGTAGGGAGGCCCTTCAGAGGGATTTAGACAGGTTGCACCGCTGGGCTGAGGTGAATGCGATGAGGTTCAACAAGGCCAAGTGCCGGGTCCTGCACTTTGGCCACAACAACCCCATGCAGGGCCGCAGGCTTGGGGATGAGTGGTTGGATGAGTGTGAAGAAGAGAAGGACCTGGGGGTGTTGGTTGATGCTCAGCTGAACATGAGCCGACAGTGTGCCCATGTGGCCAAGAGGGCCAACGGCATCCTGGCCTACGTTAGAAATGGTGTGGCCAGCAGGAGCAGGGAGGTGAGCATCCCCCTGTACTCAGCACTGGTGAGGCCGCACCTTGAGTACTGTGTTCAGTTTTGGGCCCCTCACTACAAGAAAGACATTGTGGCCCTGGAGCGTGTCCAGAGAAGGGCAATGAAACTGGTGAGGGGTCTGGAGCACAAACCTTATGAGGAGCAGCTGAGGGAGCTGGGATTGTTCAGTCTGGAGAAGAGGAGGCTCAGGGGAGACCTCATTGCACTCTACAACTTCCTGAAGGGAGGCTGTGGTGAAGAGGGATTTGGCCTCTTCTCCCAGGCAACGAGCAGGACAAGGGGTAATGGCCACAAGTTGTATCAGAGGAGGTTTAGATTAGACATAAGGAAGAACTTTTTGTCTCAGAGTGGTCAGGCAATGGAATGGCTGCCCAGGGAGGTGGTGGAGTCGCCGTCCCTGGCGGTGTTCAAGAGGCGTCTGGATGACGTGCTGCGTGATGTGGTTTAGTGCTTGTGGTAGCAATGGTGATGAGGAGACGGTTGGACTAGATGATCTTGTAGGTTGTTTCCAACCTTGTGATTCTATGATTCTAAACTAGGCTTTGATTTCATAGAAGAATGTAAGGGAGAGGCTTTGATTGAGGAAGGCAAACCCATAAGGGAAAGGGAAGAGATGAGAACTCTGACCAAAAGCACCCCGTGCTTAATGTATAATACACAATAACATGAAACTTCTGAGAAAAAGTGAAAGGAAGTCAGGGTTTCAAACAGGAGAGTGATGTGGTTTCGAATGAGTGCTGAGGACAGGAAGACATGGAAGTCAAAGGGGAAGTCACTCGATGAGAGCAGTGATTTGGGAAGGAAAAATAACTACCCATGTGCTATATTCGATTGTATAACTGACTTCCATTACCTAAATTTAGTCATGTACTCTCAAGGTAGGCCTCATTTAATTGGAGTTTCTGCTAAAGGGAAACTACTGCTCAGAGACTGCTGAGAATAATGCAGAATGAACCCTTTTCCACCTGGTTATGTAGGAAGCAGGAAATGGCAACTGCATCTGGATTTGCAAGTTTGTTTGAATCAGAGCAAGTGAAAAAATGTAATATTTTTTAATTTGTAGGCTAATACAGCATATGTTAATATGAGAAATTCAATGCAGTAATAACTCTGGACTTGAAATATTGTATTTCAAATGTCCACATGCCAGCCTATGTGAGAATGTTTCACGTTAGCATGTATTAACTAGCATCACTGGGACAATGGGACCAAAGCTTTGAGCCCAAGACTGAATCTTTTGTTGTGTGAATGTGATCCCAGTAGCAGGCCACAGTGTAGGGTGGAATACCAAGGTCTGTGGATTTCATACAGTCAGTGGCAATATCATAAATCTGCTGAAATTCTCTGCCTCTCTCTGAGATTACTTGAATTTCTCAATCAATGACCTGTCGTGCCCTGCTGTGTTTTTATTTCCTCTCTCGAGCTTTCCTGTTTGCAGAATCACTTAGTTAGGCTGTATGATAGTAACTGTGCCAATGCACCTCTGTCTGTGAGCTACTTGAATATTTCCAATAATTTCTTCCATGTATTTAAAAAAAATCTGAAAGAAAGGGTACCATGAACTCATTTTTAATTTTTTAAATGCAAACTATTTTCCTCAAAGAGATTTGCTACCGATTTTTTACTTCACAAAGAAGCTGCTATTTTAATGGCATAGTTTGCTTATTAGTGTGCTTGTTTTCTGATAGGTATCTGAAAAGGGCTCTCTCACAGCTGATGAGTTTGCGAAGCTGGTGGGAATGTCTGTTCTCTTAGCCAAAGAAAGGTAAGGAATCATGATTGTGTTTAATAGCACCTTTGTTATCAAGTTGTCCTCAAGTAATGCAACAAATCCTCTTTTGCTTTCTCCAGGCTGCTTCTTGCTGAAAAGATGGGCCATCTTTGCAGAGACGATTCGGTGGAAGGCTTGAGATTCTACCCAAATTTATTTTTAACACAAAGCTAATGTAGTTTGTGTGCATTTGCTATGTAACAGTTGAACTTGAGAGCAGAGAGCGGAACCTTTTTAACAACAGACATTGACATTTTTTACTTTGTGTCAACTCTAACAGTGATGAACATTGCAACACTTTACAGTTCTCAGGTATTTCGAGTGCTGAATCATCTTGTGTGGAACCAAAAGGAAATAAGAATCACCAGGTCAGAAACATGTTAATTGTCTTAAGCTGGCTATCTCACATTTCAAGTTCCATTTGATGTGCTTTGTAACTTCTCATTTCAAGAGGAGTGAGATGCAGATTGCACATGAGTGAAAATGGAGAGACTACCCTTACAGCCTGCCATGAGAGTCAGCACCCAGAACACAGGTTATTGCATACTCCAATTTCAGTTAATTTGTGTCTGGAGCGACAAAGCAGACAGATGCATCCGTTGCATAAGAATAGAGACTCTGGTGTGTAAGGATTGAAACAGTGCAGAATAATTTGCAGAATAACCCTGTCTCCCTGAGGTGATGAAGTTTTTAAAGAATATTCTTGGTTTCTTTGAGACGTAAAGAATCTGCTGCAGGAGAAATTAACATGTGTTATGTGAATCTAGAAAGCAGATTGTTCATTTTGTCATTTTGTCATGTCTTATGCTACTATCTCAGATAGAAGCATTGTTAGTATGGACTTCCTCCCTTCTCTTTCTTTGCCATCTCCCTTCCTGTCTCATTGTGTTGCACTTTGGTGCACGTTCTCTGTCCTCTCTTTATACAGCACAGTGTGCAATAGCCTCCTGTCACTCCACCAGACTCATTTCTTTTTGTTTGTTTGTTTTTCATTTTGTACTTCTAATGAAAGATCAGCAGTTAGCTTCATCAGCCCATTGCCTGTTTTGGAGAGACAGTGCATTTCTTTATGTCTCGTACACCAAAATTAATGTGCTTTCAATATCAAAGGGGAGAAGAAGGCTATCAACCTATGTCTGATAGTCACAAGGTGTCTTTTTGTTTGGTATTCCTCTCCCTGTTTTCAGACTGGATGCAATTTGATAGCCTCAGCTTTTGTAACTCCAGTGGAGTTGTTACGGTACTTGGAAATGTGTTGTGGTGGTAATAGCAGTAAGTGGATGTTTATGATCCACATCACTTACATTGTCAGCTTTCTGAATGGGCTGGTTTCAGTAGATAAAAAAAATCGTTCAAGTTATGGGCAAAGACAATAAGTATGCAACTGTGTTATAACTGGGGCAGTGGAATTGGCATTAAGCAAAGGAGAGAGGTTTTTTTTAACAGCCTGAAAATATTTTCAGAACTATTTCAGTGTTACCACAGCTTAGACATGTTTAAGAACCTGCCAATAATGAGCTCAATGTGGACATCCTTATACTAATAATGCTTTTGATTTGCCAGATGCTCATTTAGATCCAGAGAACTGTGTCCTCTTTGTCACGAGTAAAGTTGTGTGCAGTGCTTTCCTTACAGCAGGTTTCCTCTGTGTTTCATGAAGGTGCTAAAAATAATGGATTTGACACAGCTGAAAGAAAATGGTTCCACCCTGTTCTTATTCTGTTAACCAGCTAATATCATCTCTTCAGGAGCCTTATGGCCTGCTGCTTTTCTTCATTTTCCCCACAACACACAGAAGAGATCTGTGTGGGTATCTCAGGCAGTGTGCGTCTAAGGGAAGACTGGAAATTGAGAAATACAGAAGCAGAAAGCTGCTGTTTCTCTTGCTTGGTACTCACACCTGCCCCAGAGAAACCAGGAGTTTATGGGCCCAAACCTCTCCCACAGGGGGGATATGCTCTGTCAGAAAGCACAAAATCAGAAAGGAAGTGCCGAGAGTAAACTCCTAGTCTCCATTACTCCAACCCAGAGCATTTAATTATCTTAATCGAGTAATAACAGTAGGTTGTATTTAGAATGATGGTATCTTCTTGAGATTTTCTTTCCCAGTATTTTCCTTGAAATATTTTATTTTGGTAGGGAAGAAATCTAGAAGCTAAATTGTATATAGCTGGTTTAGAGTTGAAATACACAAAAGAAAATGACCACTGAAATTAGTAACAATTAAAAGATTTTTCTTAAGTAGACTATTCTGTGAGCTTTATTTCTTCCTTAATGTTTTTTGAGAGCACTGAAATGTTTAAGCATCAAATCTTGTGGTTCTGTGGGGTAGGTTTTCATACAACGTATTTTTGCCACCTCGTTTTGTACCCAAAGGGGCACAAAACAGGTTTGATGTAAAAATATAAGGCAGAGTTAAATGCAATTATAATATAATTATAATATCCTGGTTCTGTTGCTGAGTAGCTTGTGACCTGTCACAGGCCAAACCACAGAACTGCAGGTGCTTGCAGAAGCACCAACTTCATGAGGGAGGCAGTCTGAGCCAGAGCCGCAGGTACACCATGCTGCCTCTGAAAGGCCTTTGGTGCATGGAATGTGTTTTCTCAGCTGAAAGAACACAGAGATCCATGTGTATCCATCACTCATACAGAGCCAGCTGTTGCGTGGTGACGTAGTTGCAGTGTGGTATGATGTGTCAGTACGTTGAACTGTCCTGAGTTCTTGCTCCCCAGTCCTGTTTCCATTGGTACTAATAGCAAAACGCCTCCTGACACTACTGACACAGAGTATAGAAGAGAGAAAAGTGTAGGAGCTGCCTTTCTCATGGATTGTACCAATTTGGTATAGAAGGTATGTGTGTGAACCTCATTTTCTTTCACGTTTTGATCATTGCTGGAATGTTTGTATCATGATATGTGAACATTATCTCATTTTGCCAGGGATGTCCAATTATGCAGTCCTTTGAGCAGAGGCTTGTAAAAGAGCTCAGTTCAAAAAGTGCTTGCTCCTTTATGGAGCAGTCTTAAATGTGGTTAGGTTTGTCATGTGAGAACACAGGCCTTTCCATGCCTCTGACAGGAAAAGAAGGCTGCATGGGAATCTGTACATCCTTTCTCTTTTCCCTTTGTTTTCAGGAACAATTAGTTTATATTCAGCCAATGGAGGCACGGATGTAATCTGAACCATGCTGCTGAAGTGCAAACCTTTCTTTCTAAAATGTATAAGCACACATATGTATGTAAGTGCACTTAGAAGTGTAGGAAGTGTATCTTTAATAATCGCTCCTGGTTGTATGTTGATTAGCTAAACTCACTGACAGTGTTTCTAACCAAAGTTTTACAGTTTGAAGGAACTGGGCTTGTTTAGCTTGGAGAAGAGAAGGCTGTGGGGAGACTTCATTGTGGCCTTCCAATACTTGAAGGGAGCTTATGAACAGGAGGGGAATGGCTGTTTATGAGGGTGGATAGCGATAGGACAAAGGGGGAATGGTTTTAAACTGAGACAGAGGAGGTTTAGGTTAGATATTAGGAGGAAGTTTTTCACCCAGAGGGTGGTGAAGCACTGGAACAGGTTGCCCAAGGAGGCTGTGGATGCCCCATCCCTGGAGGCATTCAAGGCCAGGCTGGATGTGGCTCTGGGCAGCCTGGTCTGCTGGTTGGTGACCCTGCACACAGCAGGGGGTTGAAACTGGATGAGCATTGTGGTCCTTTTCAACCCAGGCCATTCTGTGATTCTATGACCCAAATCTTAAAGCCTGGAATACTTTCATTTTGAACTCCAGAGTTCTCTCAAAATACACTCTGAAAAGGCAGAAATCGGCTGATTAAAAATTATTTGTGGATTTGATATGAGGTCATTGTTATCTCAGCCTTTTTTCTGAGCTGTAATCACAAATGTGACTATTGTGTTGTACTTCCTATGCTGGCAATGCCCATTTTATCCTGATTCTCAGGGCTTCAGAACCCAAATAAAATATAAGAAACTCAAATTTCAGGACTTCCTCTGCCAGGAAGGTTTGAACTCTCATTCTTTTCTCCCAAGGAAGCTGCAGGTATGCATGCTCAGGGGATATAACATCCATGCCTGTCAGCAATGTTCACCTTTATTTATAAGGAAATACTTAAGTACTTTTTGGAGTTCATGCCCTTGTGTCATACCTCCCAGGTAGCTGTCCTGGCCAGCAGGCTTGAGAGTCATTTTTCTGCGTGGTTTAGAATTAAAGTATTAAAAAACAAACAGCTTCAGGAAAGAATGAAGAACCTTCTGTTTCAGAGACAGAAAAACCCCATTGCCTGCTGGTTAGCACACACTCAGGAGAGGTAGACCTGAGACAAGCCAACTTGTTTCTGTGCTCCTGTATCCCTTGATTCATGTGTGCAGAATGATCCCAGACACTTCAAGGCAGGATTTGCTATTTAAGCAAAAAGTTTGCAGAAGGATACCTGCTTTGTGAAAGTTCTCTTATTCCAGTGACTGCTTTTGCAATAAACAGAACGTTTGCAAATAACAATAAATGCAGCACCAGTGCACAGGATAAACTTCTTGTTGGTGTTGTGGTTATTTAATGACTCGCTACGTAGGTAGAATTCTTTTCAAATGTTGTTTAAATGTAACTGTATTTGTCTATGAGAAACAGCTGTTCTTTCAGCCAGACTCCGCTGTTGTGTGTGTGGCATAATTCCCCCTGGTCTCACTTAAAATCCAATGGAGAGTTTGAGGTGTGTCCTCAGATTGCAAAGATGTTCTGTTTGATCCACCCCTTCCATGAGAACAGCAGCACTCCCACTGACTTCAAACCCAGCCTTTGCTGTAATTCTCAGATGGTGGCTAGTTAGCAGCTCTGAAAAGCGGTGCATGAGGAATGGCTGCACTCTGACAGGAGGAAGGAAGAGCTCACACGATGTTCTGGAATCAGACTGCAACGTGTTTTGGTCTCTTCAGTAGAAATACTGCTGCAAAATGACTACTTTTGATCTTTCTGCATTTCCATTGTTTTTGCTACAGCAAGAGGGTCCAAGATAAGGAGGATTTTTTTTCTCCATTGGGACTCTATTTATAGGCCACAAGGCCAGCAGAGAATGTGGCCATCCAGCCTGACCTCTTGGGTGACAGATGCTGTAGGATTTCCCTTAGTTAATTGGTGTTTGAACTAGAGCTCCTCTTTTAGGAACAACAAGAGATCTTGATTTCTGGGAAATTCCACCACAACTCTTGGAACATTTTCCCAGTGACTGTTACCTGTTGTAAAAAATGTTTTCAGTATACACAAGCAGAGTTTGTTTAGCTTTGTCTTCCAGCCACCGTACCTTATATGTAATAAATCTTCTATTATGGGTGTGTTCCCTTCATGCCAGGAGTCCTGGAATGAAACTGCCTTAAATCATTTGGAGCTCTTCTACCTGCTGCATTTTCCTTTTTTTTCTGCTTTCCCCAATTTTTTCCGTGATTATCTGATAACCACCTTCAGTTGTGAACATCAGAACTCAATGAAGAGAAAGCTATTTGCAAAAGTACCAATTGCAGATGCAATCCGTGTCTTTCTCCATAGTTGCCCATTTTTCATACTCCCAGCCCCCTGCACGTCTGTGCTATCCCATGTGCTTGAGCCCATGTTCCTGCTCAGTTCTCTCCCCACCCATATAAATGCAAACATTATTCAGCCTGCAGGCTTCTGCTGGGCTCTCATTCCCATGGGGATCTTAAGGAGAAGGAAGAGTGGGGTTTGAGATGGGATACAGAATTTTAAGGGAGCTACACCGAAACATGCACTGCTTGCTAAAGCTCAGCATACTCAGGGATCCCAAAGGCTCAGTGGCAGGTCACTCACTACCTAACTTAGAGAAGGCTCCAGGGAGCCCTCATTGTGGCCTTCCAATACCAGATGGGAGCTTATGAACAGGAGGAAGAATAGCTGTTTACAAAGGTGGACAGGACAGGACATGGGAGAATGGTCTTAAACTGAGACAGGAGAGGCTTAGGTTAGATATTACGGGGAAGTTTTTCACTCAGAGGGTGGTGACGCACTGGAACAGGTTGCCCAAGGAGGCTGTGGATGCCCCATCCCTGGAGGCATTCAAGGCCAGGCTGGATGTGGCTCTGGGCAGCCTGGTCTGCTGGTTGGTGACCCTGCACATAGCAGGGGGTTGAAACTGGATGAGCATTGTGGTCCCAGGCCATTCTATGATTCTATGATACCTGTCATCAGTATTACTCTCCCAATGCACGTTATCTGAAAACTTGAATAAAGATGATGTCTTTTTCCTGAGACTCTTGTAGGTTTCTGGAAAAAGTTTGAAATTGCCAAGCCAAGTCCATGCTTAGATTTTTAGGTAAATACATCTTGTATGAAGATGATCCATTAAAATGACATTTTGAGACAAGTTAGTCAATATTTAATCCTTTTAATGCATGCTGAGCTAATTCTGCAGAAATTTCCTCTGTAGAAATGTCAAGCCAAACCTTCAATGAAAATGCAAGCATAATTATATCCCAATACTCCAATACTGCTACCTTTGTTCACCAAACACGTAATTTTTTATAAGATGCCGCCAATCTTTGTCAATTGGCATTGGCAGTGGTACTCCCCTTTTTTTACTTACCAGTTTTCCCATCGCTATGCCTGAACTCCACTTAAGGCTGGCAGGTTTGGATCAACCTGCTGGGCTGCTGTAATGCCTAAAACACAAATCAGTACAACCCCGCATGTGAGAATTCTTCCAGTGATCTGAAACTCCCCAACCGATTGATTGGAAAATCCTGGTTACCATTCGCTGGTGCAAGTTTCTTCAGACCCGATTTTAAGTTGATGTAACTTGAGCTGCTCTTCTGTTATGTTCTTGAGCCTGCATTGGAACAGAAAGTATTTGGCTGCAGTGCTGCAATATGGCTCTATCATCTGTTCTCCCCTCACAACAGAACAGTAGTATTTACTAAACATCTGTATTCCTTCTGCATTCCAATCCACAAGTCAAATGTTCACATAGTGGGATAGTTACCATTCTTTCCTTTGACTTATATATTAACATGAGGAAAATCTCTCTCAACATTGCTGACCGGGGTTCTCCTGTCCTTTTAAGTTCTTTATCAGTTTATCAGAGTTATCATTTCCAAAGGGATACACTTCAGTTTCTCACTGCTTCCTGCCTTCTGATGCTTCCCCCTAAACCATCAAATATTTACATTGCAGCTTCAGACCTCCTTTGCTCACGTCAGATTACTTGCTTGTACCTAAGCCAGCACTATTTGGGGTTTTACAGTTAGCTCTTCTCTGTCGGCGCGGATCTGGGCAGATCTGTCTTGCTTGTGTGGTTCACTTCCTCAGTTAGGATATTATTAGAGCTTGAGGTCATTTTAACATCCACAACAGGAACCTTTCAGTCCATTTGCTCAGACAGAAGTCACACACACCATGTCGCATCACTGCCCTGCACATAGTGAGAGGTAAAGTGGTAGCCAGCCATGCTGCTCACCGCTCAGCCGGTCTGCAGTCCATATGCACTAACACATGATGTTGCTTTTATGCCAAGAAAAGAAGTACGTTTTCTTCTCAGCTAAACTGAGGGAAAGCCACAAGCAGCTCAGCAGCCTGTGTCTGCGGAAACCACCAGCACAGCCAAGCTGGTGCTGCCCATCATCTGACACCTATAATTCAGTTCAGGCAGAACCAGGTTGATCTGTTCCAGCCGACATGCCTGATCTGGCCTAACCCCTGTGCCACTCCACGCCTGCGGCCAGTGCCACCTGCATGGGCAGCAGTGCTCAACCCACGGCTGGAATCTGCCCTGGCACACAGCAGGACAGCTGCCCGCAGCCTCCACCACTGCCTGCAGTTACACGTGCATGCAAACATTTGTTTTACAGCTGGAAAACAGGTAATTCTGTTTATACAGATCAGGATCCTGTGCCAGGATCCATTCCCCTGCCTGACCTTCCCGTGAGGACCGTCCCAAACACTGGCACCAGGCAGACCCCACCAGCTCACAGCTCAGCTGCCATCACTTTGCCTTACCCAGTTGCTTATTATGTAGGCTGCCAGCACTACAGACAAGCAATTAAAGGTCATTTTCTGTTTGTACTCTTCAGTGTCTACGATAATTTTGTTCCCAACATCACAGTTCTGGGCTGAATGAGTGCTCATTTGTTCCCTCTTCCTCCTGTCCCTTCTGTTATTAGTTTCTCGCTCTCCAAGGAAACCAAGTTGAGTGGCAAGGAAAGACGCATTTCTACCTGCTGTTAACCAGACGTGTTGTAATGAAAAATGTGATCTTGATGAAATTTGGATGGCACATAAACAAAGACAGATCTCAGTCCCTAGCATCACAGCAGGTGTGCTAAGTGCAAACATAATCCTGTATGCTTCAAAAGGTTTAATAATGCAGCCGGTGTATTTATCCTATGCTCATCCTTCTGCTCTCTGGCTTCGTTACAACTTCCATCGTGTAATCAAACTGACGATCTGTGTTTTTTAATCATTATCTTTTGGACTGCACTCCCTTTTGGAAATGCTGATGCAAAGTTGAGATGGGTCTGAAGCAGCCATGAAGAGTCTTAGAGTCCAAAGGGGACTCTAAGAAATAAGGGGACACTCTTTAACAGGATCTGTTGTGATGGGACAAGGGGAAATGGTTTCACATCAAAAGAAGGGAAATACACATCAGATGTAAGGAAGAAGTTTCTTACAATAAGGCTGGTGAAGCAGTGGCACAGGTTGCCCATAAAGCGGTGGACACCCCATCCCTGCAGACACCCAAGGTCAGTGGATGGTCTGGATGGGGCTCTGAGCACCTGATGGAGCTGTAGGTGTCCCTGCTCCCTGCAGGGCAGTTGGACCAGATGGCCTTCAGGGGTCCCTTCCAACCCAAACGATTCTGTGACTCTATGAACACAGCCACCTGAGCTGCAGCCTTCATTTTGTTTCTGGCTTTACAATCTGAATATAACCTCAGTTTACTCTGGCATAAAGATGAAGACAAAGCTTTTTTCATCAGGAGTGAGAAACAAAAAGACCAAAGATCACAAATAACTTGTAAAATACTTGAAAGCTGTTGGATCAAAGGCAGTATAGTAAGTACAAAACACTCAGGTATGAGGAAAGCATATCACCACGTTTCAGGCTCTTTCCTGTTTAGTGAATTTATTTACTCCTCTGCATTACAACAGAGGAAATACATTTTTTCTCAGTGATTAAATTTTTTAAAATTGTGTTTCTAAAGGAAAAAAGCATGGCAAAACACTCACCTAGGTAAGTTTGTCATACGTTAAACATAGGCAGTAAGTGAGACTTGAGTTTCAGTCCTGGGCACTCGGTAGAACTTTCAGCGCATTGCAAACACTCTTCCCCATCACCAACAATCTCTTTGTAGTATTATTTTATTAACAAACATGATTTATTAACAATTTCCTTCACCAAATCCACAACTATGACACATCCACTCGTTAGCTGGCACCCGAAATGGTCAGCACACAATGAGCTTCTGGCACGTCCACATATCTGTGCACAAGTTCCTCCATAGTGGTGCTGCTTGGAGCTGAACTCCTGTGGCCAGGCTACTTGCATACACTGGGAGCTGCTCAGCATTCAAAGCAAGGGCTGAGTGATGTCACAGAATCACAGAACCATTAAGGTTGGAAAGATCACCAAGTTCATCCAGTCCAACTGCCAACCCATCCCCGCCATGCCCACTAACCATGTGCCTCAGTGCCAAACCTACACGGTTCTTGAACACCTCCAGGAACGGTGATTCCACCACCTCCCTGGGCAGCCTGTGCCAATGCCTCACTGCTCTTTGTGAGAATTTTTTTTCCCCCAATATCCAACCTAAACTTCTCCAGATGCAACTTAAGGCCATTGCCTCTCGCCCCATGTCATCATAGGACTCCCATCAAGGTGAGGCCCTGGCACAGCTGCCCAGAGAAGCTGTAGGTTCCCCATCCCTGAAGGCAGTTGAAGCCAGGTTGGATGGGACCTTGGGCAGCCTGAACTACTGGCTAGCACTGCCCATGGCAGGGGAAGCCATGGATTTTAAGGCCCCTCCGAACTCAAGCCATTCTGTGATCCTATCATTCTACGATTCCATGACACAGCACAGATTGCACAGCCACATCTTCCATGGTGTCCTAATGGTGACAAGCTGTGATCATTCTTAGACACACGCAAATGCATACTCCTTTTCTGTATGTCGTGTTACAAGCTCCTCAGCAGGCATTTACCTTACTTCCCTGAACCTTCCCAGCAGCACTCCAGATGGCACTCTGCCTTCGGAGCTTGCACACCACGCACCATAGCCGGTGTATGGGAGAGTAACCCGGCACGTGTGGATTCAAACAGGGCCACAGTGGGAATGGCAGTGGCATGGGGCTGCTTGGCCTCGGTCTGTGCTGCATGGAAGGCTTATTTTCATGGTCACACAGATGGCAACTAGGAACAGTGCTTTGAATTTTGGACTTAAAAAAAAAATAACTGAGAATTGCTTCCTCTTGGTCTTCTGTAGGCCATGCCTATGGAAAGCAGGGAGATTCTCTGCGTGGCAGCAGTTAACACAAAGGCCTCTTCAGATCCTTCTGTTGTTTTCACAGAATCACAGAATGGCCAGGGTTGGAAGGGACCTCAAGGATCAAAAAGCTCCAACCCCCTGCCACATGCAGGGCCACCAACCTCCCCATTTAATACCAGACCACGCTGCTCAGAGGCCAACCTGGCCTTGAACACCTCCAGGGACGGGGCATCATTCTGTGGGAGAGAGGGTGTATTTTTAAAGCACAGACTGCACGTCTGGGAAATACAGGTAACAGTGGTTTGAGATAAATCAGTCGCTCTTGTGTAAAAATACACGGATTTCTCTTTTAAGAAGCCCCTCTAGAAGACATTTCCGTTCCTTATCAGCATGTCCTGCCGCAGCAGTCCCCGAATTTACTCATGACGAGTAACACCCATGCACGCGCCAAGTTGGGCAGCGGACGGGTGGGCACTGGAGAGCGGAGGGCTGAGATCACCGAAGCCTCCGCCGCCGCGGGCCCACTGGAGCTGTCACGGAGCCTCAGGTGCCTCCGTCCCAGGGGCCGGGCCGTGTCACCCAGGCGCTCGGCCGACTCCGGCCGTGGGCGCGGGGCGGGGGCGCCGCCACACCCTGGCGGCGGGCGGGCGAGGGCGGTGCGGCCCCGGCGGGAGCGGGGCGGGCGGTGCGGCGCTTCGCCTCGCCTCGCCTCGCGTCTCTTCGCTTCGCCTCGCCGCCAGGGGCGCGGGTTCCCCTCGCGCGGCGCCCGCTGACAGCCGCCCCGCCATTTACCCCGGCCGCTGCCTGAGGTGAGCGAGCGCCGCGGCCGCGCGGCAGGCGGCTCTCCGGAGCTCGGGGGTCCCGCGGTCGCGGTAGGGAGTGAACGCGGGGCCGGGGGGAGGCGGAGCGGGGCGCGCTGTGCTGGGGGCGCGGGACCGCGCTGCGTGTGAAGAGGTGCGGAGTAACTTCGGGCTCCGGGCTGCAGCCCGCTGCCCCGAAGCGCGGACGGGAGAGACCGCGCTGCGTCCTGCCGTGCGCGGCGTTGCTGCTGCTGGCCGTCGTGCGCCGGGCACAGTGCGCCGTGCAGGCGCCGGGGAGGCTTTCTCCTGCTCGTGTCGGTGGTTGGTGGCATTTCGGAGCTGATTCCTAATTGTTTCAGCTGTGCGATGCGTGTCACGATCCTTACGATAAACTTCCGTAAGTGGGGGATCCCAGAAACGATGGGCGATACAGAGAATGCCAGCAAAATCTGGAGGAGAGCGGAGGAGCGGATGGCTGCGTCCACCTTACGCCACGAGGGTCGATCCGATGCATTTAATTCTGCACGGAGGCGATTCATTATTGCTTGGATGTTTTCCTGACCCTCCTTATGCTTAATAAACTTATTGTCACTGTACGTTTTCCACAGCAAACCTCATCCATCTATTCACTCTGCTGTGGGATGGAGAGTGCTGGCAGCTCTCATATTGCTGAGCCAATACCAATAAGAGCTGGCAAATCCCAGCATTTCTGAGCATCAGCCCCAAATACTGATAGCTGTATGCTTTACCAGCTAATTATTATTATTTTTTTTTTTAACCTCGCAAAAGCGCTGTCATTTTCAGCCCGGTGAGTTTAGGTGCCTAATTTCAATACAGCCATTATCTGATAACGACGTCAAATTGTCTGATGTGTAAATAAGAAAGAGCGATGCCTTTGAGGCTGGCAGCCCCGGCCCCCTGCTGCGGCACGCAGCCGTATGTGCGTTTCCCCGAGCCCAGCTCCAGTCTCAGAGCGCAGCTCCCGGCCAGCAGCCGTGTGTATGGCCAGCAGCAGTGGGATGTCAGCGAGGTGATGTGCACCTGAGGTGCTCCCGCATTTGTGACGGGGAGGAGGATTTGGTGAGAAGTTTTGAAATTCCCAGCAGGTGGTGACACTTCAATGGCTGCCTAATGCCACGGCGCAATAGCGAAAATAATTAATCTCTTTCCCTACAGACAGATGAAGTATCTCACGTTTGCAGAAACGTGGCAGATGGACGCTTCTTTTTTGTGCTGCTAGCGAGCTTCCTCAAGTGAAAAGCAGGAAGGGCTCTCTGACTTAGGCTGGAGCAACTCTGAGCACCTGATCGAGCTGTAGGTGTCCCTGTTTGTTGCAAGGGAGTTGGAGCAGATGGCCTTTAAGGGTCTCTTCCAACTCAGATGGTTCTGTAATTCTGATTCTATGACTTCCAGGATCTGTTTCGCTGGGCTGCTTCACTGTCAGCCACTCTCATGCATAATACAACTGTGCAAATAGGACTGCAATATTTTTACTAATAGACAGCAGTTAAGGAGACTTGTTTTTCATCTGGGACTTTGTTTTCCCTCTTACATTCTGGCAAGGTTGACCTCATTACAACCTTTCAGTACCTAAAGGGAGCCTACAAACAGGAGGGGAATCGACTCTTTGAAAGTGTTGATAACTGCAGGACGAAGGGAAATGGTTTTAAGTTGAGGGAGGGAAGATTTAGGTTGGATGTCAGGGGGAAGTTCTTTACTATAAGAGTGCTGAGGTGCTGGCACAGGCTGCCCAGAGAGGTTGTGGATGCCCTGTCCCTGGAAGTGTTCAAGGCCAGGTTGGATGGGGCCCTGGGCAGCCTGGTTTAGCATTAAACGTGGAAGTTGGTGGCCCTGCATGTGGCAGGAGGGTTGGAGATTCCTGATCCTTGAGGTTCTTTCCAACCCTGGCCATTCTTTGATATTGTAATGTTTTGCTCATTTTGAGTTTCAGATTTTATTTACCTGACAGCTCCTGGCTGGGTTCCTCGAGGTGACTGGGAGAAGGCATCTGAGCTATGATGGGATGAGGTGGGCGAGAACAGGCCTACTGCAGGAGGGTGGAGTGAGGGCAGGGGCTGCTCTGCCAGGGATCTGCAGAGTACTCATAGTTAGGGAGAATACAGGCTTTGTCTGATGCACGTGTCATCTCAAAGCCTGGGGCTTGTCTGTGGGGTGGGTGATTGATTCCTCGTTAACTACAGCCCCCTTCTTAACTGCAGCACTGATTTGTCTTTTGCCTGCCCTATGAAGAGGATATAGTTGCTGGGGGATATGTTGGTGAAGCTGCACACTTGTTAGCTGTGCACACTAGCAGTAATAGCACCATCCAGCCTGCTCAACAACCAGTCTGCTCTCTGGCCTTTTGACGTACCAACTCGTGGAAAATGCACAGGAAGTCATAAATCCAGTAGGTTTTGTTGTTGTTGTAAAAGCTATCTGCCATCCAAAGCGAACATAAAATAGTGTGACTTTGGTTCTTGCACAGTTCCTGATACTGCAGTGCCCACGTGCAGTGGATTTGTTCTCCTAAAACCTGTCAGGCAGCAGAGTGCAGCTTCCAGCAAGAGCCTGTGCCAGAGGAAAGCTAAGTGATGAGACTAAGACCACGTGAATAGAATAGAATAGAATAGAATAGAATAGAATAGAATAGAATAGA